TATTTTCTCGACATCCATATACGTCAGATTTCTGAAACATGGCGCAAATCGGTAAAGGTTAAACGTAGTTTAGTTATGAGAAGCTTTTACTTTTGTAAATTCAACGGTTTCTGCTTAAAACGTGTACGAAGACAAGACATAATTTTTTATATGCATGCTGAAGAATTGGCCATCAAGGGGTAAGACCGGACGTCGGTAAAAATCGCAAATAAAAGTGATAAACAAAGATCGGACAGACGAAAAAAATACAAAAATTACCTTGTTTTATAAAATACTGCGCAGCACACGCTCTACTTCTCGGAGCGACTGGCTGAAACTTGGGGTCGGGGCAGAATAAAATGGAGTCTTGTACCATATTGATAGCTTTCAAAAATATAGCATAAATCACCGGGAATTTGAATTTTACGGTCTTACTCCATCACCGATCTTACCCCAATGCACTATAGTATCTGAAGTAGTGCTAGGTGCGTAAAACGTCATTGATATTGCGTGCCGTTTGAGACGCATTATTTCCACGTCGGCAATCGGAAAGTCGGCAAACGTTGGAATTATTTTAAGAGTCTATGATTCCAACTTACAAAATTCTATTACGTTCATACCTAGAATAATATAATTAAATTCTAAATTACAAAATTCTATTACATTCATACCTAGAATAATATAATAAATATTACACAAAGCTAATTTATATAGCTTGAAAAGTAATCACGTTTAAATATAGCAATATTGCAGAAAAAAGCAAAACCCAAATAATAAATAACTGATTAAAAAAAATTAAATATTATCCTGCCTAACCTCAACTGCTGTGGACACACATAATATGTGTTCCAAGAAACGTCACTCAGGTGCCACAAAATGTGCGTTTTATCATCATAAAATACTTTTATTTTATTGCTTTTTCGCTATTAGTCAATGATGATTAAAATTGATGACCTAATAAACTTTAAATTTTGATCTAAGACATGTTACTTCACTGCTGGTCATATGAGGAAGCTCAAGAATGCTCAGCGAGCTATATAGAGGGCTATGCTCAGGGTTTTTCTGCGTGACAGACTTAAAAACGAGAATAGATGCAGTAGAACCAGAGTAACCGACAAAAACCCAACGAATTAGTAAGCTGAAGTGGCAAAGGGCCGGCCATACAGCGCAAACAACCAACAAACGATGTGGAAGAAAGGTCCTCGGGTGGCAGCCTCGTACCGGTAGGCGAAGTGTAGGGCCTCCATTAGATGAAATGACGGCCTGGTAAGTCATTCAGGAAGTTGATGGATGCAGGTGGCTTAGGACCATGCCACAAAGGCATTCCTTGGGGGAGGCCTATGTTCAGTAGTGGGCTGTAATGATAATGACGATGATGATGATTAAGATTTACATTTAAAATAAGGACTGATATGTATTCCTTATTCTTAAGATGAATCATTGACAAAAAAGAGGCCAGACGTCAACACCAATGTTATAAGTTTAAGCTGAAACCTTAAAAAACCATACATTAGAATGAGTGCATGAGATAAATTTTTGTACAAAATGAGGAAAGAATGCTGTAAGTACAAAAATTTCATTTGCCTCATGGGTTATTATGCAGATGACTGATCCTATATAGAGCATCACATTAAAAGTATGAGATGGTTTTGAATGCAACTTAAAATAATAATGATTACAATTTAGTGAATTAAAATTTCAACTACATTATCAAGAATAGGTGGTAAAGTTAAAAATTTTGTACGATTGACTTCAATATAAAAAAATGAGAACATCACCAATGTATTAAAAGTTAATTCTATACGCATTATTAAGGATAACTAAAAAAACTACTGATCAGATCTTGATCAAATTTATATGGGACCATAAGAGAAACGAGTCCTCAAAATCGGTTCACCCAGAAAAAAAGTTCTGAGGTAACACAGATAAAATAAAAATTGTTTTGAATTGAGTATCTCCTCCATTTTGAAAAAGAAGGTTTCTATAATATTATGAGGAATGATAATCATATATTTGCAAGAACTATGCTGATATGCTGGAACTACTGGATGGATAAAAATTAAATTAAATAAAACTACAATTTACACTATGTGTGGTTACACATTAGGCAACATTTAATCTATACATATAATCTGAAGTGATTATATGTATTATCAAAATAACTGTCTTTTACGAGCTCAGGGGATTATTTGCATGCAATTATAATATGAATAGCCATTTGTAAAATTCTGTCCAGACTAAACTTCAGAATGGCTAAACCGATTGTCATAAAACTTCTAACATACCAAGTGGGGGCAGGGCTAGTCTTGAATAAAGAAAAAATTCCTGTAGGATAAAGGTTGAAAATTATGAGTCTTTTTAGCCAATCAGTATCAGGAATGAGAGGAGGCCTACACTCTTACTGCTAAACTTTAACTTTTTCATTCACTTTCTTTTTTAACCAAATTAAAAAAGGAGGTGCTCTATTCGACCATGTCCATTTTTAGGGTGCATAATGCACTTAGAAAAATATTTTACAGTATCCTTACAGGAAGATGGTCTACATACCAACAAAACAAAAGCTATATGCCAGAGAAAATTTAAATTTCGTATGTTTGTGATAAATATCAAAACAAATTAAGAGCTTTAATCAACAAAACAGCGATACTGTGAGTAAGCATATTTTATTGTTGGTAGTGAGTAAAACAAGTGACTTGCAGCAATCTTTTCTATAATGATTCCATTTTAAAATAAAGTAATAAATATGTACATTTTGGGAAAGGTTAACCAATAATTAAAAGAGAAAAAGATAGGTTAAATAATAATAAAATATTCTAAAATTACTCTGTTTTGTTTTTGTAGTAATCAGATGTATTCCTACATTCACATGTCTTCTTAAATTTTGATTTGTTAGCTTATATCTTGAAAATAAGATGATTAAATTGAGAAAGTTCTGTAGGAGAGTGAAATAATATTTTTTGGATTTTTATATGATTTTAATGTTTAGTTGTATCACTGTATTCTGTGTGATAATGTCTGATTTTAACAAGAAATATAAATCTTTCAATCATTCTTTGTTTTATTTTACTAGTCATAAGCATAACAATTGCATATTTTGTAATGTGTCATAAAACACAGAAGAGTTTTCACTTAAGCCTTTGTCTAAGATTTTAAAATTTTTGTCCTTAAGGCAATTAATCAAACATCATCCTTCATCTTCAGGCACTTTTTAATCATTTTCTAATGATTACTACCGAATTACAACTGTAGGAAAAGGGAGCCATTTTCAGCTCAACATAATCAAGATATTGTATATACATTTTATTTTCATAATATTCATTTTCACTTTCATATTATGGTGTAGCTTATAATAACTAGTCTTTAAACAAAATTTAGTTAGCGGAAGGTTGCAAAGTAATAAATTATTTATTATAATGGATTTCCGCAAAGTAATGCCTGATTCTATCAATTATTTTAAACAAAATATTACAAAATAAAAAAAAATAAAAAGATAATTCAGTATATTTATGATTAGTTTAGTTTATGACGGGCTATTTTCCACAACTCCACATCTAAGCGCATATTTGCATGTGACATGCGTGTGCATTTATGATATAAAAATAAATACAGTTAATATTCATTACCTTAATACACCAACTAAACAAGTAATTTATAAAAAAAACTGGCTATAACTAATAAAAATGGCAATTATGTGATCTTTTTTTATAGAATAAGGGTGACAAACAAGCATACAGCTCACCTGATAGTAAGTAGATGTTGTGGCCCATAGAACTCTACATTCATTTTCAAATAAGATTCAGAAAGTAGATGCAGCCACCATCCCTGAGCACTAAGATGGAATGTCTCGTTTGCAGTAAAAAGGGTTGCGGTCACACACTCACCATACGAATCAGCAGCAAGCAAGCAACATTAAGATGCTATTTTGCCATAGTAGACCCAATTGTACTACAACCATAATATAGCAGCAGCATGTCTCTATCACGTACATATAGAACTATGCCAATTATCCATAATTACAGAAATAAATATTGTAGCTTTAATACCTATCTCAGATGTTGAAAATGCATATTTGTATTCCGATAAACTACACTCGCGAGTCGGAGTTACCAGTTCTATGCATGTATTTGTCAAAGGCACAACACATTATATATTCCTTTGTATTGGTCAAGGCCAATAATGGATTAATTATAAAAACTTATTGAAATTATAACTTACAACTTATTACATAAAGTTGACTACTAATTGTAATTATATATATATAAAAGATCAATATGACCAGTTAAACAAAATAGCAATTTCATAGGTAAAGACCTAACAGGCATAATATTTAAGGCAGAAGTCATTTTTAGAAATTTTGAAACAATAGTAAAATCAAAAAATATAATGTTAATGATATTCAAAATAACAGTTTAATTGAGTAATAGTGGAATATATGGTCATCCTAATCATTACCTGCCTTTTGTAGTCCCCTGCTTCTGAATATGGGTATATACTTCATATAGTTAATTACAAGCTCTCACATATTCAATGCAATTCCCTATCACCAATTTGATTGTATATATTGTATATTAAACTATCTATCAGAAGTCATGATGATGATCTTTGAACATTCTCTATAAACATAGTAATTCATACAATATCAAATGTTTTAAACATTGAGTACATTCTATTGAAAGAGTGCAACTGTAACCTTCTAGGAACATAATTTATGCATCAATAACACAACAGTTACAAAAGTGCTGTTTTGGGAAGCTGCTAATTAAACTCAAGGTTTGTAAACAGTATTTACTGAACTCACAAGCATTTGCAAGGTGTTTTTGATGTTCATTCTATTTCTACAAATATTTATAAGACATTTAAGAAAGTGCTGTATATACAAACTAATTTTTAAACTTATTCTGGTGTAAAGGCATTTGAAATTAAGCCTTTCCTGATCTGTTACAGCTATTTGATCTTTTATCTACACAGGCCATGTAAGAAATTCATATGTTTATTTAAATTATAGCAATGAAAAAAATTACCTTAATAGGTTTCTCCAAAGTCACACGTCTTTCGTCAAACGGCAAAGAATTTGAATGGGGAATGAATATAGCTTGAGGAACACCCACTTCTTGGTCGTTAGGCTCTTGACCAGAAGTCCAATTAAAATCCATATTTTTCATAGTATTGTTCATTTTTGGCTTAACTTTTTTACTCTTTGCTATCACCATCGCACACGCTGCTCCTCAGATTCAACATCCGTGCTTTGTTTGTGATAGGACGACGAACACATCGATGATGAGATTTGGTCAATTCATTTCATGGTGAAAGGTGAACATTCCCCACTGCCATTTTGAGTAGTAAATAGAGCCCAGTAAACAGAAGTAGTAAATTCTTCTAATATTATGTTTCCAATCTTCTAGCACTCGGGCAAACCTTCACGAAACTGAATAAATGAAACTTGATTCCACTAGCCTCTACTGTTTTGTCAAAATATAAATTTCTTAAGAATTTGTATACGAAATTCAAATTAAGATTAGACTGAAGGCAATAATTTATAAAAACACGAATACCCATACGTATTAAAACTTATTATTACGAGGGCGTTGATTGAAATTATCGTTCGAAGAACTTACGAAATGGGCGCACGAATCGGACATTTGTTTTGTTAAGTTGGGTTCCATCCGTAATCCGTACGTATCGTAATCGTAGCTTCATAGATCATTTGTTTTTATTTTAACAGGTTCTTTTTCTGTATAGTCTGTAGACGATTATTAAACTACGGGTATGTTCCGAAATACAACGCAGTGTACTGTCCAATGCAAATGACGTATCATTTGACACTTTATTGTACTAGCGTGCCGCCGCCATATTGTGTCGGATATCCGGCCATAATAAAACAATTTTTAATTGTGTGTTTGCCGAATGAAGCATGCCAGAATTTGTTTCTATTTATTCAAATACAAAAAATTATAGAATAATTGATGGTATATTCCATTAGGAGGATATAATGATTTTTGGAGCACAAAATGACAAAATAATCGCTAACACTTTTCCAAATGGCGCAAAAGTATGACGTCATATACTGTCCAATGTTTTGGAACGAATCACCAGTATAGCGTCGATTCATGACGTCATTTGCATTGGACAGTACACTGCGTCGTATTTCGGAACATACACTCTATATTAATATATAGTTAAGGATGGCCATATGCCGTCCGTCCGTTTTAGCCAGCAACAGTTATGATTAACTTGCTACAAATTAGCTTGCTACATATTTATTTATCTATGCTACATATTTATTTATGGTTACGATGGGCGTTTAAATTTCTATTCCTACAGATTTTAATACGGAATATGAAATATTATGCTATCCAGTACGCTGGCTGCGTTTGGATGATAATAGTGGGGATGAACTTATTTATTAGGTTAAGCCATGGTTAAGCATGCATAGTCCGGTACCTACGTACAGACAAAGAATGGAAATAGAAATGCTGGCACATCGAGCACATATAGTTGGCATGCACAGTACCAATTGCGAAAACCGCTAATAATGGTTTATCGTTATAACGCTATATTGTTTGATTAATTGGCAATTTTCTATTAATGCAAAAATATTTCAAAATAATTGCATACGCAAGTAAGTACATTAATTTTAAAATAACATTTATAAGTAGCGACCCGCTCTGGCTTCGTCTGGGTGGGATCTATTAATGTGGCATTATTTAGGCTCAAGATAATCATTAAAGACCCGTAATTTTATTCTACCAATATTTCTATTTTAATAAAATCTCTAATTTTATCGGACAAAATTGAGTCTAGATCACTCCCAGTCCTAGTAGTAGAGAGTAGTTCGTTATTGGTTCGTGAAGTTTTATTACAATTCATTCAGCCATTCCAAAGATTAGCTCGACCAGAGAGACAAAATAAAATTAAAAAATTGCTTATTCATGTCTCAACAGCATATAAATAGTTTATAAAAATATTAACAAACAAAATCAACAATAATTATGAAGAAAACTCTCAGAACGCGCTGTAGTTCATAAATTAGTGAAACCGGACTGAATTTTTAAAGTAAAACTTCTTTAAGCACGCTTGACTTGGGGAGTAAGCTGGCGAAAAGTGTGAAAGGGCGATGCGAACGGGAGTTGAATGGAGGATATAAGCAAGAAAGAGCAGTGCGCGCGCAGACTTTCTTTCTCTTTCTCTCATAGCCAGTTATTTTTCGTTATTTTATTTTGTTTTGAACAATTTTATCAATTAATATTTTGTTAAATACATTAAATATTCTACGTTTAAAGTAAAAAAAATTGTGAATAATAACTTTAGGAAGAAAGTCGATAATAAATTTAAATATTTGTGGAAATTGTGATTGGATTACCAGCTTTCTTGCAGATTGGAGCATCAAGGTCGTTGTAGACGGTGCAAGCTTCGATTACAAGCCTATTAATTTTTTTTAAATTAATAATAATAATAATTTGGTGTTCCACAAGGCTGCGTGCTATCGCCAACGCTGTTTCTTCTGCATATCAATAATATGTTGCAAACCCGTAACATTCATTGCTATGCAGATGACAGCACTGGTGATGCTCTTTACACCGGCCGTGCCAATATTTCTCGGGAAAACGTCTCCGAGTATCGCAAAAACATGTGTCTGAAGTCGAGTCTCTGCCGAACAGAGTGTCGGATTGGGGGCGACTAAATCTAGTCCAGTTTAACCCCCAGAAGACACAAGTTTACGGGTTAACCGCTAAAAAGAACCCCATTGTCAGTTTCAAGGCACTCCCCTTGTTACCTTAGCCAGTATCGGAATCCTCGTTGGAAGAGAAGGCCAAATTGGCCTCTAAAAAGCTTGGCGTGCTCAGCAGAGCGGGACAGTATTTCATGCCAGCATACCGCCTGCAAATTTACAAGGCGCAGGTTCGGCCACACATGGAATACTGTTCCCATCTCTGGGCTGGGGATCCCCAGTACCAGCTCCTTCCTCTTGATCGCATCCAGCGCAGAGCGGCTCGAATCGTCGACGACCAAGTGCTTACCGATCGGCTCGATTCACTGGCGCTGCGAAGAGATGTTGCATCTCTTTGCATTTTCTTTTGCATATACCATGGGGAGTGCTCCGAGGAATAGTTCGGATTAATCCCAGCCACCAAATTTCGTGAGCGCACTACGCGGCAAACGTCCTGATACCATCCGTGGTGGAACGCCAAGCATCCAGATGGTGCAGATGGTCCACCACTGTACGTTTCAATAGGAGTTTTCTTCCGCGTACAACCTCTCTGTGGAATAGTTTACCACTGGCGATTTTTCCGGACCGATACGACCTGGGGACCTTCAAGAAAAGAGCTTACTCCTTTCTAAATGGCCAGCAACGCACCTTCAATTCCCCTGGTGTAGCGGTTGATCATAGGCAGCGGTAGTCACTTAACATCAGGTAAGCCGCATGCTCGTTTGCCCCCTCTTCTATAAAAAAAAAAGAAAATTAATATATGTATATACATGTATATTATATATATATATATACAGGGTATTAGTGTAAACACCGTTATCGAACGTAAATTCTCTCTCTTTTAATTATTTATTACCACTCTCCTAAGTGTATAAATAATTAAAACGCACATATATTTCTGGTCATTTTTATTGAAAATATAAGAGAGAACTTCAATAAAATCAATCATTTTCATAGCAAAAATTTTTTGTCAAACAGAAAACTTAAACTAAAACAAATTTCAAATCTGTTATAAATAACTTATAAAAACTTTCAGTAATAAAAATCAAAATAACATAACTATTTCTTCTAAGAAAAAATAAAACAAAACAAAACACTTCGAAAAATTGAGGTAATTTTCTTTAACAAACTCTTATTCATTCGCGCGCGCTGCGTGACGATCGAAAAGTAAAATGAGTAATCTGCGAATAAAAATTGAAAACTGGTGCTAAACTTCAAGTTTCATCCTCAAACATAAATAGTGTTATAGTACAAGCAATATGTAATGTTACGAGCTTAGGGTTCGTGACAATAAAAACTGCCGATTGAATTACCAAAGTTAACACTTTTATTACTGAATGCCAATTAAAACTTAAAAGACACTATTAATTAATCACACTGATTCACTTTATTTCGCTCCGAAGTTTCGCTTGTCTCACCAAATTCAATACTGCCCCGATAGCGGGTTGCAGCGGCTTTAAATACACCTTTTACACCGAAACATTCAGAATATTCCAGTAAATACGGGCGCCGACCGACCAGGCGCAGAAATTTCGAGTGTGGGGCTTCTAGAAAGCTTAATTCTTCTGTTCGATACTAGATGGCGCTGTTGGTGGAAAGTTCAAGACTGGCATTTTCGAGGAAGGCCTCCTCGCTCTGTTCCCTGACACTAGATGGCGCGCAACAATAACATAATGATACTTAAATTGGTGTAAAGTGCTTAGTTTATTCATGATTTTAAATCCAAATAACTTATGCGTTCGTGCGGCACTCTTCAATTATTATCAAGTTATAAAGTCGTAAGTTGAACTTTGGATCCATTAACGTCTCGTAGAAACTCGCATATCAATAAGTGATCAACCATACTGTGTATTTCGTCGCTCAGCAGGGACAACAGCTAGCGTAAAGGAGTTACGGATGGACTTAGTTACTGGCGAATAGATCGAACCCGGGCGCCATAAATTCTTTTTTTTTATTTTATTTTTATTATTAAACTTTTTTCTTTTTGTCTCTGCTGAAAATAGGAAAACAAAAGCATTTATCATTATTATTTTGTAACCCGAAATAAGCCAAATGGTTGCCGTCTATTACTGAACACATATTGTTCCACATTGTCACACTTATGATACCTATCAACTATCACTATGAATGCCTAAATATAAAGAAGGAGCAGATTGTATCGTTTTCGAAGGAATTTCGTTCCTCTTGTACTTGTCCTGCATGTGTGTATGTAACAAGATGTGTAAAAACTAACTCAAACACAACTGTACGTCACAATCAGGTACCATCTTAGACCATTGAACGCAATGGACTCGCCTCGCGTGATTATTCTCTTCTGCGCAAGTATTGGATTTAAAAATCTTGTGCGTTTATAAAAACTGTTTACGGAATCTATTTCGTCATTACAAGAATCGTTTCCGTCGTTGTAGGTGCTCTTTAAAAAAATGCCGATTTGTGCGGTTAACGTGTGCAAAAAGAAGTCTGATA